CGCGGGTCCTTGAACACCCCCGGGGTGCCGGTGCCGCCCGGCTCGGGCCCCGCTCGGGGGGGAAGGGCTCAGGACGCTACTGGAGCCCGCGAGTCAGCAAAAGCGTTGTCGTTGGCAGAAGTATTTTTCCTTCCTTGGGGTCGTTTGGCTCGGGCGCTCCTTTTGAAATAACTTAAGGCAAAACTGGTATAATTCCCAGAGTTTTCCTTTCTGCTGGAAATCCTGCCTGACGGGCGCAGGAAGTACGAGGCCTCTCGCTGCGCTCGCTTTAAAAGCCGTGTTAGCCAGGACCCGTGTTCCGTGACCGGCGAATCCACCACACTGAACTCGCTCTGAACGGCAGAGCTGTTCCCGAATCTCAGATTTCGTTCTTTAAAGATTACTCCCAGCGTGTATGGATTCTAAGAAAACTTAAGCCAAATTTAGGCTAAGCTTTCAGAACCAGGGGTTCAGAAATGTAGGATCAGAAGTGAGCTGTTCTAGTCGTTTTAGTCTAGACATTTTGTATTTTTGGCATTTTTTTTCAGCATGTCCGAATTCAGCAGTTTCCATAGTTTCTGTCGGTTCTAAATTAGGAAATATCTGAAGTTACCTTGCTGCTTGCAGACTATGATTTGCAGTTTGTCAAATTATGTGAAAGTACTGTATTTCTTATAGGCCCAAATGCCCTTTGCTGACTTCTGTCATCTCAATATGAAAATATGCTGGAATGCAGAAACTTCAGCTTAAGTCATAAATAAAAATTGACCAGTTTCAAGTTTTTTTTAAAGAGAACCCATCTGCTTGTTTTGAGAGGTGGTTCTTATATTTATGAGGAGAGGTTTATCCAGATGTGCCCTGTCCTGCTCCAGAAATGCAGATACATTTGTATGTTGTTGCACGTTGTCGTGTAAAATAACATTAATGGTAAGTATCCCAAACTACCTGAAACAATTTGTGGAATGAGGATAACATTAAAACATTAGTAAAATTACTCATTTAAAAAGAATAAAAAAGAATGTCTTGCTCCTTTAAAATCCACCATTCTGAAGTTAAATTTTTCCTTTAGTGATCGTACAGTGCTGCAGGAAATACTGTGTTAGATAAGCAATAATATGTGTATTATGCCCTTTAAGATAAAAAATGGGACAAAGCCTCACCACTAAAGAATCCGTAGTCTAAGGACCTGGTCATGGATTTGGGTTTCTGCTTACCCAACACTGTTCACTGCAGTGGTCTCAGCAAGAAGAGAGAACATTAACACAATGATGTATTAGCTGAATGGTAAAGAAGCATATGGGCATGGTTTACTGTTCAGTTTAGAAAACACAAAGTAAGTGGGAACTATTGAATTTTATCTTTTGGCCCTTCATTGACCAAAGTTGCCATCCTTAATTATTGGAACTTCTAAATATCTTCTAGTCTACCCTTTCATCTAAACCTCCTCCTTAATGTAGTATACAGGGCTCCCTCCTCAGCTTCCAAATTCTTGTGAAAACCCACTTAGTCTGAGACGCCTACGCTTTTCACCATACACATACTTTGTGCGGTTGCCTCTGACAGTCACGCTGCATGTCAAAGAGTAGGTATTACAATTTATGTTCCTGTAGGTCTGCCATTTTGTATAGGCACTTAGGAAAAAAATCAGTTAAAGCAGCAATAAAAAAAGATGGAAGTTACTCCCTAACTTTTTTCTGTTCTAATTTTGATAAAAATCAGTTGATGACCTTTTACTTTGCTTTGCTATATACTTCTTATCTCACTTTAGTCTGCAGTTACAGCCAATGTTTTAAACCAGAAAGAATAAGACGATATGCTTTAATTTTAAAAAGATCCGGTTTTAAAACAAGGAGTGGTCCTTTATCTGTACAATTGCAGCAAAGGTAAACTAAGCAGTCTTATGTAGAAATTACTATCTCGTCTTTTGGGCGTGAGTTACTCTTTGAGCATAACAATTTTGCAAATTATACCTGTAGATTAAATGTGACCCTAATTTATTTAGAAGCCCAGACCAGAAGTTGTTATTGTTTTTCTTGATAGTAAATGAAATCTTTTCAATTGCATCATATTTTTTTTCAAGAGACAGAAACGATAAATGCTAAAAGCACATAACTTGTGCCAGTAATCACGTAGACCTGCTTCTAGCCCCAACAGAGATTTCTTTCACAGTTTTGGGGAAGTCACGTCTTTTACACCTTACTTTCCTCAAATATATTGGGATTACTAGGTTTTCTGTGATTTTAGTATTCTCTCTCTGTGTCATATACTTTTTTAAGATTGGTATTTCATTATCTGATATAAAGAAAAACTTAAGAGCTAATAGACAGGAAAGCTATTGCCATTTTAAAATTTTCTCCCTTTGCATTGGATTTCTAGTTCATTACTCGTATTAAAAAAAAAAAAGTTTGCAGTTTCATTAGAGCTATGGGTTAACTCCTTTTTCATCAATGTGTAGATCTTTTCTCCAATGGGGGAGATATTTTTGCTCTGCCATCTGCTGATTCATACATGCTTATGTGATACAGGATTCTCTGCCAAAGTTCTAAGAGTTTCTTGGAACTCCAGTCATGCGATGGTATTACTTAACAATGGACTGGAAAGCAAACACTTCCTCTCTTGACAATTCCAGGAAAAAGGAGGAAAAGAGAAGGACTTTGTTTTAGGCTGGAGCAGTTTGCTCTTTTTTTTTCTTAGCAGCAGCAAAGGCACTTGTGTTCTTTTCAAGAAATGTATTACTATGCTCAGTCTTGTTTTGTCTGTTCCCAAAATGTGAAAAGCTCAGCTCTTGAGTAATAGTTTTCTTGAGCATTTATGAGAAATTTGTCTTTCGA